TAACCTTGACTTGAAACCTCCTTTCTTGCCCTAGGAATCCATGAGTCTGGGTCTGCAGAATCCAGAGCTGCATGATCCTCTATGGACTTCCTTTTGAGTAAGAATGCTGGCAGATGCACAGATGTTAGGGACCCCCTGCCTGCCCCCTAAGAAAAGAGAGAGAGAACTCGCCCCTCTTGAACTATTTTGGGGTGTAAAGGGAGAAAAGGGATGGGAGGCCCATCCCACCATCCCACACCTCTTGTCAGATCCTGGGAGCTTGGCTGCAAAGCAGCACAGGAGGGGCGGGGGGGCGGTTGGGCTCCTCACGGCCCCTTCGCAGGAGGCTGGTGTTCGTGAAGCCCTGCAGGAGTGGGGGGGGGGGCGGGCAGAAGTTCCTCCTTTAGGTTTTGGCCAGAACAGCGCTCGGGGCCGTGCTTGCAGAATAGTATAAGGGCCCAAGTGTTTTCTTATCGTTCTCTCGCCAGCCATGTGGGTCCCCAGCGCTCTTCCTCCTGGGGTCCCGGAGGCCCCTTCTGGGCTGGAGCCCCACACCTCTCCCTCGGTGCAATTTTCCAGGAGCCTTTTTGCACCACCGTGGAGGTAAAGATAGAGTAACTGCACCTGGCTTTCTGGTGCCTAGCATTAAAAGCCATCCATCTGGACCTCAAGCATGAGTGTGTGTGTGTGTGTGTGCATGCACATGCGCAATGCATGCACTTCCTTTGAGAAGCGCACAAAAGAAAAATAATGGCCTTCATTTTCGCTTAACAGATGAAGTGGAATCAGATGTTATTCCAAAGGAAAAATATCAATGCCGTTTTGAATAGGGGGTGAGATGCTGGCTGACGCCGACCCCCCTCCTCCCTCACCATGGTGTCACACCACCTGCCCATTCCTCCTGCTGCTCCCCGTTCAATTTCTGTGCCTTTGTCTGATAAATCAATGTGTCCTTATTTCAAAAGAAGGAACCACAAGCCACGCTGAAGAGAGAGACGTGCGAGGATCCGGCTGATGCGGAATCAGGCGCATCCGTTGCACCTGCTCCTGACAGTCTTGGTCTCTCTCTCGAGGGAAAAGGCAGGAGATATTTGGAGGTCATGGAAAGAGGCAGGCAGCTTTCCTTGTGTCATGAAAAAGTGCTGTAAAATGACCCTGATTCCCTTACCAACCCCAAAAGAGTTTTCCCCTTCATTTCAGGAATTCTGGAATCTCCTCAGGGCTTCTTCCTCTTTGCAATCACTTCACTTCTGGATCCCCCACTTTGTTTTTTGGTGCCCAAGACCCATGAAAGAAAAGAAAGGGAGAACAAAGGAGAGTCCATAGCAATATATATATATATAGAAAAGCCTGTGCTGTCAGAATCTGCCCACGTTTGACAGTTCAGAGGTGGGCTTGAGATGCCAGACCAGGGGCCTCCAGGATTCAGGCTGCTGAGCCCCTTCCTGAATCGGGCTTCAGTCTCCGCACACAAGTGGTGATGGTGGAGGGTCTACAGCCCTCTCTCAAAGCCAAGGTGGGATCGTGATTTAACCTGAGGAAGGAACTTGTGAATGGAGGGAGACGTTCAGCCTTCCAGCTGCCCCGGATGTTCTGGCCTCCGTGTTCCCTTCACCTTCCGGGCACTTTCCTCCAACAAGAAGGAACTTGTGAATGGAGGGAGACGTTCACCCTTCCAGCTGCCCCAGATGTTCTGACCTCTGTGTTCCCTTCACCTTCTGGGCACTTTCCTCCAACAAGGCACACTAGCGGGGTGGGGGTGGGGGTGGGAGGGTTTCAGGGGACCCGTGCGGGGAGTGTCCGGGGAGGATCCAGAGCCCGTTGGCCATGCTTCCCTTGAACCCTTTACACATCCCCTTTACTCATCCGCTTATTGAATCCTGGTTTCAGGGGTCGCTCGAGAGACTGTCAAGCCCAGCTTCCTGGCAAGACCGGATGTTCAACATCCGTGTTGCCAGCGTGCTCACTTTGTGCTCCCTTTACATCTCGGGTGTGAAAAGGTGGCAACTCCTGCCCTTTTGGGCTCACAGTTTATTTTTATGGCTGCCAGATTCCTGAGATCTGGCTTCGCTTTTGACCCTGTATAGCTGTCTTTCTGTTCCCTATCGAGGGATCCCTGGGAAACCTTAAGGGTGGCCTTCCCTTCTGTGAACTTGGTCCAGCTTCAGATTTGGCATCCGAGGACGTGGGGCCTGGCTGGCGTAGCTTCTGCAGCCCTGCCAGGGGGAAGAGGTACCATGGACAGCTCCCCTTCCAACAACCACAGGCATTCGTTCCCCAGGAGAAACGGGCAGAGCCATCCTCTTATCTGTGTTTCAACTAGGTTGTTTTAATTGGACCATCTTCTTAATTTTTTTTAATTGTTCATGTTTAGCATATTTTAATTCTATTTTTATTATCAGTATGCGTTATATATTGCTGCCTTTCCTCCTGTGGATAACTGTTAGTATCATTTCATTCTTTGTAAGCCTATTTGCTATTTGGGTTTGTAAAGTAGGATGAAGACTGTTGCATTCCCTAGCATGACTGTCATGATAACAACTCTTTAGCAGAACTGGTGGTTTCTTTAAGGATGACCAAGGGGGAGAGAGAGTGAGTTCTGACTTTGTCTGGAAAAAGTAGATTTTGAAGAAGGTGCTGGGGTGTGGGTGTGTGTAGAGCAGAAAAGGATTCCAAAACAGGCACCGACACCCAGACATGACCCCACTTGCTGTCAGGCTGATTAATTTAAAAAGCGTCACTGTTAAAGCAACTGTGTCAGCAGGGAGCAAAATAGATTTGCAGAAAGAGGACAAAGCAGTGAACTTGGCTGTGTTTTGTGCTGGGTGCTGTTTTTCTGCCAAGGAAGGACTGAAGGCTTCCTTCCCGAAGCACAGCATAGCTTCTCCATGAACCTGACCCTCCAGCTCCCAGGGCAGGCAATCTGTCCAGAGGGGCCGCTCTTCTAGTTCAAGCACGGGGTCACTTCCTTGTCATCTCACTCATCTCTCAAAGCAGGGGGACATTTTATGCACAGGGACCAGCCATGGGGGAGGAAGCAGCCGACGACTCTGGAAATCCCCAGGTTCTCACCTTTGTCTGGCCGGCCTCCAAAG